CTCCAAAAATCCCTTATCGCTGACCGTATTGGCTAGAAGCAGTAATTCAGCACCATCTGGTATGCTTCAACTTGCCTACTCCTGATCTAAGTGAATGCTTTTTATCCCTTTGCATAAAGAGCTGGGATTTCTTTAAAGTGTAGATACTTCTAGCCTATGACTTGTCACCATAGCCTATTGCTCAACTTCTGAGATTTCCCTGTCAGCCTGTTCCTCAGTTGTATTGTATTCACCAACGCTGGGGAAATCCAATGGGATTTGTTTTTCCTGCCGAGCATTTTCCATAGGTAACTATTTCCAGCCCGTGAAGTAGCTTCTTTGTAGGCTAGGGCTACGATGATGGTGAAAGAGAGAAAGGGGAGAATTATTTCTGAAAGTGTTCTTGCTCAGCTGAATTGTATTCCGGCTAGCCTTCCAAGTGTGGAGTTGGCACAACTGGATTGGGATAGAGAGGAATGCATTTGTGCAGAGTAATCTAAGCATTTCATTCTCTCAGACTCAATCAACCTGCTTGGAGGGAGTTGTGTGGGGACAGTAATTCCTCATTCATCTCTCCCCTCCCATTTAGAATTCAGATCAGCAAACTGAGCTTCAGGCAGAAGGAAAACATGATGAGGTTTCAGTGTATAAAGAGAGGAGAGATTCAGAATTATATTCCCTGAGGGGGGAACAGAAGAAATGAATCTGCCTTATTTTTCTTCTATGAGAAGAATAGGTATTTAAGTAGCATTATAACTGCTGTTTTTGCTGCAAAAGACTGATACCTTTTGGAGAAGAAGAGATCTTGTCTTTCCCCCCCCTATATTTATTTAAGATCACTACCTAAAGCAGTCCTGTCTCTTACCCCTTTGTATTCACTGCTCCTCTTTCTAATGATTACAAGTTCTCACAATATTTTAATCCTAAATTTGGGCTAATGAAATACTGAATGAAAGCCCACTCCTTGATTGAAAGCCTGGGAGTTGTTACTAGGCCAGTGGTGGATGCTTGGGGTCCTCCACCCAGAGTGAGAGTCAAATGGAGGGGTTAGATGAGTTGGCCTTCTTCCAGCGGGCCAGTGAGAGGAGCCAGCTTAGGAGGGAGGATGCTGTGCATGTCCAGGGTGAGAGGAGTGGAGAGGTGAGAGCCATGTGGATGCTGAGACCTTGAGCTAACGTGCTGTGGGGGCCCCCTTTCTCATCTGTCTCCCAAGGATGTCTGAAGGAGTGAATAAGAGTGGCTGGAGGGGGATGGTAAAGCTCTTTGCTCTGAGAGGTCAAGGTAGGCGGGGGAAGATCACCTTTGGACAGGGGTCGCCAACTTTTGGACCTCAGGGACTACCAAACTCATAATTTTAATTCCGCGGACCACTAATATGAATTTTGACTGACGGTGGCTTGCTGACGTTGGTGGGAAAATTGGACCCAGATTCCAGAGCTGCAGTAGTCACAAGATACGTTGGTCATCCCAGAGCTGCACTGAAGCTCCACCACTGCCGCTGGGGGGGGGGGGGAGAGAGAGCGAGAGAGTGAGATCTGATCTAACCTCAGAAGGCTGGTGGTGATTCTCTCTCTCTCTACACACACACACACACACACACACAGGTCCCTCATACCCCTCCCTTGTCCAAGGCAGTCACATTCCTTCACTAACCCGATTTTCAGCTCCGTTCTCAGAGAGAGAGAGAGGAGAGAGAGAGAGAGAGAGAGAGAGAGAGAGAGAGAGAGAGAGACTATATCCTGCAATCTCAAATAAAGAATGATCAATCGGTAGGAAAATGGGGTAGGGGATTTTCCTGCAGACTTTTGGGGGGATTTTCCCAGGGTCTCTGCTGCTTCCGCTTTTGGCTGCATGCAAGGAAAGCAGCAGAAGTCTTTCTTTTTTAACCCCAAACTCCACCAGAAATGAGTCTTTGGGACCCTGCAAGGCATCCTTCTCCAAGAGGCTGCGCCATTCTGGTGGAGTTTGGGGGAGAGAAAGAAAGACTTTTGCTGCTTCTGCTGCTTTCCTTGCATGAAGCCAAAAGTCTCTCTTCCCCCCCTGAGAACGGAGCTGGAGACGGTATCCTGCGATCCCAATTAAAGAATGATTGATCGGTAGGAAAACAGGGTGAGAATTTTTCCTGCAGACTTTTTGGGGTTTTTCCCAGGGTCTCTGCAGAAAAAGCAGAAGCAGCCAAGGTTCAGGAGAAGAGTCTTTTCTGCTGTGGTTCCTCAATTCCAATAACATGCTTTGCTAAAAAAAAAAAACCATTACAAAATAAAGCTGGGTTGCCATAATATATATAATGTTGGGTGGTTTACTTTTTGACTGTGAAAACTAACAGTTAATGGAAATTCTTCCAGCATCTTACCCTCACAAATCTCGTTTCAGTATTTTGAAATAATCAATTTGGTTTATAGTCTCTAGTATCTTACAAGAAGGGCTCAGTCTGAAGAGTGGAATTTGTGGAGGACAACTCTCTTGATTCATTGGATGAATCCCAAGCCTTGGACTCAGAGAACAGCTTCTACTTAGGATGCATGGGACAAGTTGCAAGGTCCAGAATAGAGGATCCTATTGGAGCATGACCAGAGACTGCTTTTGTCCCCTCCTCAGAGCTGCTGCAATAAGCTCCTGAATGTTTTTGGGACTGCAGAGTTGACTTCTGTTTTTTAATGATATCTTCTAATTCTTTTCACTTAAAAGTTATAATAGGCTTTCTACTGTACTGCAAATACGTCTCTGCAAACAGCAAGATGGGCAGTATATTAAACAACCAAACAACCAAATAATCTTTGTTAACCTGATATCTTTTCCTAGAAGCATCATGTAAACCAGGGGTACCCAACCACCGGTCCGCGGAACAAGTACCGGTCCGCGGAACAAGTCCTACCGGGCCGCTGGCTTGCTGGGTGCCGCCATCTTGTTTTGATGAAAAAGTGCTTCCGGTGAGCTTTTCCGGGTAGAAAGCTCACCGGAAGCACTTTTTCATCAAAACAAGATGGCGGTGCCCAGCTGATGTCGGTACCGGGCCGCGGCGTAAAAAAGGTTGGGGATACCGGGCCGCGGCGTAAAAAAGGTTGGGGATCACTGATGTAAACGATGTAATAACTATTCAACTTCTATGGAGAGTTCATGATGATTCATGTCTAGCTATGATGCCCGTGTGGCCCTCTGTATGTTCCATAAGCAATATTATTGCATGCACTGCATGATAATATGCTTTGCACTTCATTACATACAAGAGTTTACAAATCATCCATTCAAACCAAAATTCTATATTTTGGGCAGTTTCAAGGAAGTTTTGATGATGATGATGATGATGATGATGATGTGTAATTGTGCACACATTTTTACAGCCACCACTTGCAAGTGCAGCGACCTTCAGGTATCAAAATCCTTTCTACACACCATCTTTTGAAATAATCTCTAAAGTGTTCTACGGTTTCTCCTCCTGTCACAGCATTTAAGAAATCAATGTGCCTCTTTCAAACACATTGCTGACCATTATTGTTCAACCTAGGATACTTATGGGACTAGTATGCATGTATTCACTTGTCTCTAAGGAGACCAGAGTTGTTGGCTAGTAGTACTTTACTATATCTTTGCAATGATGTGAGTTATGATTTTCTTGATGCTTCCTAATAAGTGGCTATCAAAAATGTTTATGATTTTTGATAGCCACCTATTTTAGCCACATGTTTATGTTCATGATTTTTAGAAAACAAATTAGCATGTTTAAATCTATACGGGCAAGTACTGCAGGTTCCCAGCCGCCTCGCCTTCATGTATATTTTGTAGAGTTACAGGAAATATATTTTTGCTTAGTAACATAGGGAATTGGGGCTAAGATGGTCTCTTTTCTTTTCATATACACCCATCTTGCCTTTCTTTTCCCCTAGAATACAGGTTAACTCTGGAAAGCTATAGATAGACCTCCCCTATTTGGCTGGCTGCTGATTGCACCCCCCCCCTTCTTCTCTGCTGGAGACAGTGTCGAGGACAATTATCCAAGCTGCATAAAAACTGTTTCCCTGTAATGAGTTGAACTCCTTGTACTGTGACAAACTGCCCAGCTGCTCTGACTCCATCCCTTTTTCTACCTCGATCTGCACCTTTTCCGTTCCATTTTTGACATAAGACATAAGACATAAGAATTTATTTGTCATTACACTCGCTAGCGGGTGCAACGAAATGAGGTGCTCTTCCACAAAGTAAAACTGGACAAACACCACTAAAAGAAAAAAAAATTGAACTAAACACAACCAACCATACAATAATCTCTATGCAATTTAAAAATGTAAATACCCCATTACTCTCAGCCATTTAAATTCCACAAAATTTTTTGGGGGTGCTGGTTCTTTTTTCCCCTTCCCCTTTTGCAGCTCTGCTATTCAGAGAGAGGAAAGGGATAAACAATCCAGTCAAGGGGTTAAAATGTATAAAACCGTGGCTCTTTTTGTCCTCCATAAGCCATACTACAGGTGGTTGGACTTTTTCATGATGAAAGCACACTGCTTGTTCTGAGAGAGTCCTGGTGGTGACCTTGCCCTTTGGCATGCCATAGCTCAGCCCATACCAAGAAAGCTCACCGAGGCTCGTAAAATGGAAGATCCAAGCAGAAACTGAACAGCTGTTAAGCATCAGGTTTTGAGGGGTGGGGCTTGCGTCCACTTCTTTTTACTGCATATTTTAGAATAACCTTAAAGAATATGTCAAGGGGGGCTGGAAACATTCATGACTAACCAAACATTTAAAAATCTGCACGTGCTGTAGGTGTCAGCTCCTACTGATATGTTTTTGGGGATAATGCAGGTGCAGTGCAGACATTGCAAACAAGGATACTGACCTGGGGTTCTTTTAGTGGGGAGAGATGCCTGCTTTTCTCTGAAATGTGCTTTCTATCCTAATGATCCAATTCAGGAAACCTCCTGATTAAACCATTATATCTCAAAGACTTGGAAGAGGATGTATGGAAGGATGCGGTATACAATTTGGAGAAAAGGTTTCAAGCAACGTTTCTTTTTCTCTCTCTGCAGGTGCACCTGCGTTCCGCAGAACGTCTCCGAGATTTATGCTGTGCCAACCGAGGTACCTTCATCAAAGTAGGACAGCATCTGGGGGCTCTTGATTACCTCTTGCCTGAGGAATACACCCGCACCCTCAAGATTTTGCACAGCCAAGCTCCTCAGAGCAGCAGGCAGGAAATCGAGCAAGTGATCCAGGAGGACCTAGGCAAAGGGGTATGTCAGGCAATCAGCCTTGGTTGGCTGTCATTCAAGCAAGGCAGCGGAATGTAGTTTGATTAGTCTTAGGGGCCTGCTTAGTGGTTTTCTATTAAAAAGACACAGTTATATACATAACAGTTATACATTTTCTGCTTCTTTTCACCCCCTGCAGGTTACAAGCATTTTCCTCAACACAAAATAGCACTTCCGCTGCAGGAATACTCCCTTATTGTTTTTTTTTTTCCTGTGTGTTTTGTCTTTTTTTTTTTCAGTGCTCAAAATGAACTGTTGGTTCTTTTAAAACGCTGGCTCTTTTTTCTAGTTCTCTTGTCTGTTTTGATTGCTTTGTATCGTGTTCAGTGGGTGATTGTCACAGAAAATCTGTTAAAGCTTGTACAATTGTCAGCGACAGGGTAAACTGACTGCATTATTTTGTATATATTAACTTAGTGGGGTTAACATTCATTTCAGGAGGTCAGGGTGGCATGTCTTATTAAGGCTAGCTGTAGGAGTTTTCTGTTCAAGACCAACAGTATTTACTGCAAACAGTGGTATTAAAGTCTTTATTGTAAAAGTCCAGTTAGTTCAAAAGGATCCAGGAGTGAATTGCTGAATCTGGAATGTACAGTAGAATAGATGAGTGGCATAAATAGAACAAAAAAGGAAAGATGGTCAGGAATCCAATTACTTGATAAGACTGATACCAATTTGGGGTCACATGGTGTCCTTAAATTAAATCCAAAGACGTGATCTGATTGGCAGCAGTTTTAACAATTGTCCCACAGTGAATTGAATGTGAGCAGGCTGAAGAATGTGCTTAATGCAGATGTGGGAAAAGTGAGCCAGCTTGGTCTAATGCAGGGGTGTCAAACTATTTCATTGAGGGCTGCATCAGGGTTTTGTTTAATTTCAGGGACAAGAGTGGGCATGGCCAAGATGGGCGTGGCCAGCTTGACATCATTTATGTCGGGGGCGCCTGTGGCCCAGGCACTCTGCCAGAGAAAATGGGCTTCCGAGCTCCACTTTCGGCTGGGACAGCCTCCTGCATTCCTCTGCTAGCAAAACTGGAGCTCGGGAGGCACCGTGGACTGGCCCTTCTCTATTTCCAGGGGTCCCCCATGGGCCAGATCGAAGTATTCCATGGGCTGGATCTGGTCCCCGCATCTTGAGTTTGACACCCCTGTGGTTAAAGTGCTGAGGTTAAAGTGCTGATCTAGAAACCAAGGCACTGTGACTTCTAGTCCCACCTTAGATATGAAAGCTGGCTGGATGACTTTGGATCAATCGTTCTCTCTCAGCCCAACTCATCTCACAGGATTGTTGTTGTGGGGAACAATAAGAGGAAGAAGGAGCATTAGATTTGTTTGCCACCTGGAGTTATTTTAAATAATAAAGACAGAATAAGAAAAAACCAGGAGTGCTAAGATATAAGAGGCATAGGAGGATCATTGGGAGATATACAAAAGGTAGGCAAAACAATCTGGCAGGCTGCGATGCAGTAAAAATGATTTGGCTTAACTAGCACAGAATGGCTTGTGGCTCTTTAAGACTGAGCTGTCAAGCTTTATTTTTGCTACAGCAGGATTCTGGCTGAGATTAGTTCGAATCCCAGAAACAACTATTTTAGAAAGGGACATAGTTGTAGCAAAGCAGGATTCAGAGACACTGACATTTATTACTCCTATCATATCATCATCATCACCATATTATTTCCCCCTTCCAAGTGTTCCAGAAGTCCTTTATGAAATAGCTCTGCTGTCAAGTCTGGGGTTAAGTTGCACATGGAGCCCCTGTCATGTTATTTTTAATATTGCTGTCTAAGTAGTTATATTTTGTTATATTTTTAATTGTGTTTTACTTATGCGTATGGCATTGTGTAAACTGTACAGATTCTTTTTGGAATCAGACAGCCCTTACATATGTAGTAAATAAATTAATACAGCACAGGCAGAACAGGCCTCCAAAATGTTAGAGACCTCACTGGGGAAAACACTTTGGCTGAAGTGATTTTCATATCTGGCAGTTCATAAAGTTCAAGACGGATTTCTCATAGAGGAAGTAGAAAATGCAGGTGAAGCCCTTGCTTCCTTATAAACTCTTTGAAGAGACAGCAACCTTCCTTTTAAACATCTGTTAGTTAAGAGATCGTCATGGCTTGGACATTTGATAAACATGCCTATTTTGCTCAATCACTGTCAGTTCAGGTTCCTGACTTTCAATTTGGAAAGTTGTCCTGCAGAGAGAAATTTGTCTTTTTGGAAAGTTCTTTCATTTTTTGTACCTCTGACCTAGAACTTATAAGCAGAAGACCATAGAAATAGCTCTGCTGGTTCTGGCCAAACTTATCATAGTCCAACTTTTTGCTATTTATGTGATCAACAGCCTCCCATCAGTGTTTCCTTGCAAACAGTATTATGCTGTCTGTAACCAAGAGGTAACATTGGATCTTCCAGCCCAATAGTCCTGAATAAGCCTGTCCTTCAGAAACTTATCCCTGTAAGTCATGAAATAAGTGGCTATCACTACAGCTTGGGGTAACAAATTATAATTATATATTGTGTGAAGAATTTCTTTCTGTTGCTTCTTCTAAACCTACTTCCAATCATTTTGGATGATATCTTGGGCCTAGAACTTGAGAAAAAAACTTTTCCATATCTATGTGTTCTAAGCAGTGGTGAGATTCATTTTTTTTTACTACCAGTTCTGTGGGCGTGGCTTGCTTAGCATATCTGGGGAAGGATACTGTAAAATCTCTCAAAATTTACGCTACCAGTTCAGTCATGTTCCAATCTCAATTCTAAGTTAAACTCCCCAAACTTCTAGTTCTTTTTCCAGAGAAAGTGTTCTACAACCTGATTAAATTGGCTGCCATCTTCTTCACAGGCCTCATCTGATCTCAGTTTTGCCAAATGACTCTTACTGAAGATGTGTTTCCTTCAGGACTACATCCCATCAGAAAACAGAGCAAGTGCAAATGAAATTGTAGACTCATAAAACATGGGAATAAGGAGCAGCAGTCAGACAACACATATTATCTGTGACAGAACCATTGAGCTTTTGTTCCCCTTGAAGAGCAGCTTCAGCTAAAGGCAGCAGAAAAGTTGCTGTTGGCAGAAAGCTATTCATGGGCAGTTTGTGCTGCTTCTCACTGCACTTTACCATTTCCAGATAAGCACTGTCAGCCCTTTACATTTGCGAGCTCCTTAATTAACCCCTAAGTGAAAAATAAATAAATCCCTGTAATAACGACATAAATCGTTGCTGTCTTTCACAATGAAGCCATTCGATATCAAAAAAGCTGTGTCACTGTTAACTCTTTGGAACTGGGAATTACATTGACTTTCAGGCACGCTTCCTCTATTTTCCTCTTCACTGAGGATTGTATTCCAAGTCTTTAATACAGTTTAGGAAAGGTTGTACATAAAACCAACAGCAAGGTTAACTAAAGAGAATCAGAGTAAGTGGCCAAACTTGGAGGAATTTCCTATATTTGGAGGAATACAGTTTGAGTGATAATTAGAAGACATTTGTGTGCACTGAATTCATGCATTAAAACACGCAGTGCATCTCTGTTAGATAACAGATAATCAGAGTTGGAAGGGACTTTATAGGTCATCTAGTCCAACCCCCTGCCCAAGCAGGAGACCCTACACCATTTCTGACAAATGGCAGTCCAAGTGATGGCGCTCCCACAACTTCCGAGGGCAAGCTGTTCCATTGGTTGATTGTTCTCACTGTCAGAAAGTTTCTCCTTATTTCCAGGTTAAATCTCTCCTTGTTCAGTTTCCATCCTTTATTCCTTGTCTGGCCTACAAGTGCTTGACCCCTTCCTCCCAGTGGCAGCCCCTCAAATATTGGAAGACTGCTATCATGTCTCCCCTGGTCCTTCTCTTCACTAAACTAGCCAGGCCCAGTTCCTGCAACCATTCTTCATATGTTTTACTCTCCAGTCCCCTAATCATCCTGGTTGCTGTCATACAAGTAAAACTTCATTCAGTGGCTATATCCCATAATATATAAATATCAAATAAGTCAACCATGTTTTAGTCTTCCTGCTGGGCAATCCTAGCCTATGTAGTTAGTTTCCCGTTTAATTGTCATGCAGCTCAAGAAATTGAGTTATTTGCATAAACTTTGTAAGCCACCCAGAGTCATTTTATAGGATAAGATCCATATAGCCATGAATAAATGAATAATGGATAAATATGTTGTGTAAACACAACTTGTATTATTCAGTCCACCCCCAAATGGCTTTCATCTTAAGCTATGATGTGCATAAAAAAAGCGGCTTTATGCAGTATTTAGTTTTTGTTTAGTTCTGCTCATAGGCCTTTGACTGAACAGGGACCTTTTCCTTCTGGGATGAATACATTTTCAACTGCCAGTGAGCCATCCCAGTCTTTTTCAGCATTTCAAGAAACAAAAAGAGCCTCATTAATTCCCAGTGAAGAAGCCTGAATCTCTTTTCAACTGTAGATTTCCTTCTTAGCATTCCTTCACCCTCATGATCCATGTCAGGTAGATATTTAGTTTAAAGAGATGGAAAGAAAACTATAAAAGATCAGGAAGAAAATAAATGGGAAAGGAAAGAATGAATAAGCAAAAAAAGACAAGGCACAAAGGAGATGGATTATGGTTTTGAATTGTTATAAGCTGAAATGATTTTGGTATTTCTCTGACAGATTTTGTTTGGAAGATGAAATGCAAAGTATTTCCTATCTGTTGATAATTGAATACACCTCAATAATGTTTTTAATAATCTAGATCATAGAATATTTCCATAGCCTTTTTTTTTTTTTGGGGGGGGGGGTTTTTCTGAGTCTTAAATATTTTAAAAATATATTACAGATACCTCTTATATCCCAGTGAACCTTTTTTTTTGGCACATGATATCAAATTTGCTATTGTTAATGGAGCTCAGTTTCCTGAAAATAACTGGCCGTATCTCCTAATGTTTTGATATTATTTCCAGTGTTTTAAACACCTATATACAGAATATATTTTTTTCACCTGAA